TAAGGTATTTTTTAATAAATGATTTTATACCAAATAATTAATTTATTACTAATTATTTTATAGTTAAAAGATTTATTGAAAATTTGGACAAGCATTCAAAGTCAATTCTATTATTTCAATTATCATATTCTCCTGGTTATAAGCACTTTCTGGTTATAAGCATCCTTATAATTTTAAAAAAAAATACAAAAATTAATATATCTCAGTATCTAATAATTAGATTTTAATAAAAATTATACTATTGGATTTCTCTCAATAAAAGCTTTTTAATGATATATTTTTTATCCAAATCGGATCAATATTGATCAAATTATTAAAAAAGATAATTTCTTTTGATTATAAGTACTTCACAAAAATAAATCTAACATAAACTCCTAAAAAAGGGTGCTTATAACTGGAAGAATATAGTAACTTATAAATAAAACTATAGCAAATTTTATTGTTACAATATAATTTTGCCAAAAAACTTACCGAGTTGAGCTTGTAAACTAGAGGATAAAGAGCAAGAAATAGAACAAAGTAAAAAAAATAAACAATTGGTAAAAAAATATAAAAGATGAAGGATATTTGATTATAAGAAATCACTTATATATTTAGAGAAAGAAAAGTATTAAACTGGAGAAAGTACATGAATAGGCAAAATTCAGGAACAATATTAAAGAAAAAAATCAAAAAAAAATCACAAGAAGCACAAAAATTATAAAAAAGCATTTCAAAGCAAAGGAAATTCAGCATTATAAAATCTTTGAAAGTTACAAGAGCCATGGTAAAATCAGCAAAAGAAAAAAATGAAGATTATGAGTAGAAAGATTCAGATAAAAAAATAAAAAAGGAATTTAGTAAATAATATGTGAACAATTACCAAATAATTAATTAGTAAATAATTAACAAAAGATAAGTAAACAATTAATAAATAACTAGCAAATAATTATTTTAAATTTTAAATTTTTAAATTTTTAATAAATTTATCAAATATTAATTAAATATTACCAAATATTATTATAAATGCAATTTTTTATTAAAAATATATAATTTGATTTTACTGAAGTATATAATATTAAATAATTTTGTCAACTTTATAGTTAAATAATAAAATTTATTTCAAATACTATAATTTTTATTACAGAATATTATAACTTTGTTATTAAATATTTTTTATCTAGAAATATTTTTTATTTAGAAATATTTTATTGTCAAATGATTTTATTATTAAATAATTATTTTTGTCAAATATTATATTTTTTTTACCAAATTATTATATATCAAATGGCATAAATTAGACCAAATAACAAAACTTCAATATAAACTTTTATTAATAAGTTTGAATTTTATCAACTATAATTCAGTAGCTAAATAATCTAATTTGAACTAGTGTATCTCTATAAAAATCTTATATTCTAATATTATTTAAAGTAAAACCATTATTAACTTATCTACAATAGTAACTAATTCTTTTATTCAATATAATTATAATTATTTCAAATATATTTAAAATCTAATATTATTTTTATCAAATACTATTTTTCCTAATACCAAATAGATATTCATAACTACTTGATATTATATAACAAGATATATTGTTTTAAATTTTTTTTTCAATATTAGTTATATAATTATTATAGATAAGCTAGTATTTAACTTATTGTACCAACATATAAGAAATATTATTTCTTTTATAATACAGTATATACCTTGTCATATACAAATCAAATAAAAAAATAATATTTACTTACAAAAAAAAAATTAGTTAAAAAAATAAAAAATAAATAAATAATATTAAAAACAATAATAAGTATATGAATAATTCTTTTTGAAAGTAAACAATGATTTTTCAAACTTTATAATTATACTTTTAAAATTTATATTGTATATATATTGTTTTAAAAATAAGAATAAAAAAATTATATATAATATTTTTGTTGTTTTCAAAAAAAGTTAGCCATATAGAAAATTATATAAATATAAATATATTAGATTGTAAATAAAACAAATACAGTAAGCTTTTTCTAAATGCATACTCCTCAGGACTATAGAAAAATTTTGAAAAATATGCATTTATGGAGGTAATTTTATTAAAAGTTTTATGTACTTGAGACCAAGCTTGACCGTGCATTTAGAGAGAGAAAATATAGTAAGTGCATTTATAAAGGATGCATTTAGGAAGGTCTTTCTGTAATAATTTTATTATTTCTTATTATAATATTAAGTTATTTTTAAATTAATTACAATTTTTTAACTTGTTTAAAAAATATATAATAATTTATAACTATTTAATTTAAATAAATATTTCTAGTTTAATAATAATATTATTTTAATACTTTAATTTGATACAATACTTTCAAATTATATATTAAAAGTTTCAATAATTATTGATATTAATATCAAAAACATTTTTTGAATTTGGTTTTATAAAATATTAGATCAAATAGTACTAATTAAAATCAAAAAACTTTTTCTTGATCATATCTATTTTGTTAAAAATTTTCTTTTTATAATAATTTTAAGCAAAAAAAACTGTTTTACACTTTTTATTACAAGTAAGTTTCAGTTCAAGAACTCAAGAATTTTCAAGATAACTGATACAGTGGAATGGAATCTCTGATCAAAGTTTATTTAAGTTTGAAAGTTTTGTTTATCCTTTGATTACATGAGGAAAGGTCTATAATGGTTCTCTATTCTTTTATTTTCCTGCATTCCTTCTTATTCTTATTCTATTATAAAACCATTTATATTATTACTATTATACTCACTAAAACAAATACTTTTCAAAATACATACTTAAATAGAATTAGTAAGTCTACTGTTTGTTTCAAGTCAACTTATAAATTTTACTTCATCATAGCAATATTTACTGTGTCATCTCAAATTCCTCAATATTTTTTCCTGGCCAAAAAACCGAAATCAGCTCACCCCTTACAGATGATCAGTACTTCTCAATTATTCAATCAGATTTTACTTAAAAATCCAAACAAAAATTGAATCTGTTTAAACTGGTTTTGTATCACAACAATCATAATCACAATATCAATCATATGTTCACTAACAACTATAACAACAAACAACCTTATATATACTTCATTATTTATGATAATCAAAAAGCCAGAGAAATGGAATCATGAGCTTGTTTGAAGGCTTTCTTTTACTTATAGATTTTATAGTTTATTTGACCCAATTTTAGTTACAGTTATGTTTATTTTCTTTTAACTATTATATATTCAAAAAATCAAAAAATTTTACAAAATTTCTTGAGTTGGTAGGCATAGTCACTACTTAACTTTATCTAGTACTATAATATTGCTTTTGAAATATTTTACAATATTAGTTAGGTAATAACTAAGTAGGCAAGCTAGCATTAAACTTTTCTGAAATAATGAAAGAGATGTTGTTTCTTTCATGATGTATACTTTATTATATACAATATCAAATAAAGAAATGATGTTTACCTATGGGGGAAACCCCTCCAAAAAAATAGTACTAATTAGAATCCTAATCTATATAATATTTATAAACTGCTGTTTATTATATTTTATTATTTGTATATAAGAAATGTTTTTTTCATTTTATAAAAAATTAAAAATAAAAAATATTTATATAATTTGAAAGCTTAACATTTTACTTTTTAGCAATTAGCTTTAGATATGAGTAAACGTTTTATCTGTATCTAAAATTAAAAATAATACGATTTTTTTTTTGCTAGTTACACGAATATATAGATTAAATAATTAAATACGTAAATTATCCAATGTTTAAGATCTACGATAATGTCTTCTACTACAGTAATTTTGGGAAAGCTTCTTGGTTGGCTCGGATTCTTGACGCTACTTCATTCTGCATATTCTACATACGAACGTATGTTCATCGCGATTCGGAAATATTGATAAATATCTTTCAAAATCTTTTAATAAATCTCGAAACTTTTTTATATTAACCAATTTAAACATTTGAACAGATCTATCGTATCTTAAAGCAGTCGAGAAGATTCCTAATGAAATGCCTGTTGAGGTATTAAATTTCATATATTATAGTTAATTTGTTATTTAATTCTCATTTAATTAATTTAAAGATTGCTCAGATCATTGTAGAATGTTTGATTTCAATTGTAATTTTCGCGATTAGTGTGGTTTTGGGAACAGGCCCTCTGAAGCCCATTTTGATGAAAAACGAAATGGAAAAAAAGTAAATATATATTGTTTTTGTTACCGCCAGTTCTCATAAAATTGGTTATAATACTTAGCCTTGATTCTTTTAAACAATTTCGTTTTTATAGGACTATCGATGCAGTCGACACCCGTCCTAATTTTAATACTTTTAACCATCGTGGTAGATTAATAAAATCATTCGCTAATTAATATAATATTAACTTTACAAAATACTAAATTATTCAAGATAATTTCTAAGGAAAAATGCTGGGCATTTGATAGTGTTGTTATACAGTAACGTGTTACATTGAGATAATTAAACTGTATAGAGATCGAGAAAAATTCTGAACACGTAACATATAATTATTACATTGCCATTTCTGGTAATTTAAAAAAAAATACATGTTATAATAGATAGGAACCAGATGAGGTCAAACAGTAAATATGTTTGAATAAATCCTGAAGACAAGAATATTTAGGCTACACTTCGTCTGAACTGCTACTTCCATGTTTAAGGAATTCAGACAATCGTACAGGTTCGTCTTCGTGTTCCTCCTTGTGTTTACGTTTGTGTTTCTTTATACATTTCAATTTGATAATAATAAAAAACCTGGTCAAAGAAAGATACAATAATTTCAACTTAAACATTTAAAAACCACAAACCTTATGAGAATGAGAGTGACTACGATGATGATGATGACTTTCCCGATGGGGTTTATCTTTATCATGATCTTTTCTGCCTTCGTAGTCTGAAGAATCTCCGTCGGAATGATGTTTACGTTTTTGAGATTTGTGGTTTTTCTTCTCCTACGAATAATATGCAGCAATGTAGGGCTGTTAATAAAGTGTTGATCAATATAATTTAGAATATCAGTACTTCTAATTTCATTTGATGGCTTCTAATCGTACTGATCATTACCCGCGAATTTTTAGTTGAATCCTGTATATATTTTCTCTATTTTATGTTGCTCAAACGAATCTACTGATAAACGAGGATATACCTTTACAACACGGTCGCGGCCTTCATGTTCTTTATGAACGTGATCAGAAGAATCGCCTATTTCTTCTCTTTCGATGCTTAAACTACTTCCTGTAGGACTTTTACTATGACTTCTAGAAGCACTTCTACTTTTTTTCTTATGTTCACGATGGTGTTTCTTTTTTTTCTTTTTACTAGATCCCACAGAAGAGCCTCTTAGTCTTGCCTCTCTTTCTTCGTCCAATTTTCGACGGTATTTGATTAACTCTATTTCGGAAAATTGTGGGCCTTCATCTGATTTTAGTTTGCGAAATTCGTCCCTCGAAGGTAAGGAAAATTTCAAGGTAGCAATTGGGACAAGAGTGAGTGACCAAATACAAGCGCAAGAAATGGATCATAGACGTCCAGGAGACGAATGGAAAACACGAATTACCACGTCATTCCGCTTTTTTTACGGGCATCAATGTACTCACGAATCGTTCCCCCTCGTTCAGAATTGGCCATTTTTTTTAAAGAAGAATTTTGAATTGCAAATTGCAGAATGTAGATCAATTAATTTCGTGATAGATTTTGACCAATCAAAATTAATTTTAACCGAGTTATAACTGATCCGATTTAAGACAAAGATGTTCTCCACGAAAATGGTGAGCAAAAACATCAATCTTATATCATTGTTAAAACTTATTCTTTATTATTGAGAACATCTTTTTTTTACTAGTCTGACCAAATAGAATGTGCGCTGGATCTTATGAGACGACTTCCCCCTCAAAATACCGAAGAAAATCTTTCAAAACTCATAGATCTTATCCCTTTCGCTCACGAAAACTTGTTAGGTCTTATTGATCAGCCATTAAAGGAAGCAAAATGTTCTAAGACAGGGAAGGACTACCTTCTTTCGGCTTACAACCAGGATGGGGATTCTTTTCGGTAATTCTGTAGTTCTTCGCAAATGCTGTAATTTGTAAATTTGAAATGCTTGCACAACTAAATTAAAATATGCTAGTTTATTGCATTGAAAATTATTATATTTCATACTTAGATCCCCATGGTCGAACGAATACGACCCACCCCTTAGCGACGGTGTACAGCCTTCCCCGAAGATACGCAAATTAGAAGAAAGTGCTAATGAAGCTTTTTATACATATCGAGACATGTAATTTCAAATTATTCGTAAGATATAATTCTTTTTTATTTATACTTTACTTATTTATGGAATTCTGGATAAATTTGCCCCGAATACATGTTGGGTATCATAAAGGTATTATGGAAACGGCGTTTCTTCTGCGTACTTTTGGGATGATCAGGATGGGTTCGCAGGAGCTGTTTTATTTAAAAAAGGCGAGGAATGAAGTGATTAATATATATATATATTTGAATTTGATCGTTTCGAGATTGATTTGACTTATCAGTCTTTTTACCATACTTTAGTTGGTGATAGTGTCCGCAAAATGAAAGGCGCTTGGGATTCGATTCATGTATTCAAGGCAAATGAAAGAGGTCGTAATGCACATTATAAACTGACTTCAACAGTTATATTATATACCATTACTAGTAAACCTGAGCTTGGTCACATGAACTTATCTGGTAGTATGACAAGACAGGTTCGAGAAACAATATTATTCTTTTTTCCACATTCTTTACATTCTTTTTAACTTAGCAACCTAATATATTACGAACTATCAAATAACTAGTCTGAAGCAGACTGCCCATTTGATGAACCTTCAGCTCACATAGCCAACATTGGTAGAATGATCGAGGACATAGAACTTAAAATGCGTAATTTACTCCAGGAAGTATATTTTGGCAAGACAAAAGACATTGTCAATGGCTTAAGATCTATTAATTCACTCGTCGAAGCTCAGAGACAAGCCGATATTCAAAAAGAACTTGTAGGAAAATTGTTGGAACGAAAGTCATAGGATGCTAAATTATATATTCAAACCAGTAACAGCAGGTTTTCATTATTTAATTAGTAGTTAGGTAAAGCAATGCTAATTATACATTATTATCCCCGGTTTACTTTTATGGTCGTAGAAAAAAACAGCCAGTCCAAATCTAATATTATTGTCTCAACTTCTCTTTACAAGTAAATATTTTTGTACGCGAATTTCTATATCAATAAATAATGCACTGAGCGAAATTCAACATTTTTCATTTTTCTCATTGATTCACAATAATGTATTATTAAATTAACTGAAATGAAAATAACTGATTTAATTTTGATAATTAATTTTAAATTCATATATCTCAATTTGATATTATAGAATTATATTTCAATTGACACTTTATAAATTAGAAATATAAATTAAACAAGACAAGATTATTAGCTACAAGTAATATAAAAACAATAAAAGTTACAAAATTAATTGAATTTTATAAGAATTATGCAAAGCTTAAATAGAAATTTTGAGCAAAAATATTACAATTTTAGATAATTAGAGAGATAATATTATATTATATTAATAATATATTTCAATAATTAGTAAAAAACTAACTGGAGTAGTTTGAATTGATTTTTATAAAATATTTTATATAGACAAAATTGATAATAGAATTTTTACTTTTTGTATATAATTTTTTTTTTTAGGGCCAAAGTGCAATATATGTGTAGATTTTATTGTTTAATAATAAAGACCACAAATATTCAGTACATAAACAGTTTTATTAACTATTGCTAATATTAATTGATACTATTTGTCCTTTTTATTAGAATATGAACTTACACTTTATAAATATGTCCAAATTCTGATTTATGCTTATATATAAGATTCAATCTTAATTTTAATATATTTATCGTTATTAGATTTCTTATTATATTCACACCTTTGACTTATATAGCTACAGTACCTCTATAGACTTACTTCTTTATACTTTCTAATAAATACTTCAAGAACTATTTCTATAGTTGATATATACTGTCAAATTTGAAAGTTAGATAATCAAATAATATATAACTTCTAAATCTTTCAATAAATACTCTATAGGCTTTTAATTGACTTAAACTATCAAATCTAGAGATATGAATATTAAGCAAAATATAATTTCTGTAAAGTTACTATCAACATATTTATATATTAATATTTATATAATAATTCTTTTTAAAGAATTTAATAAAAAACTCTTTTTGCTAATCCTTTTGCCAACTCAAAAAACAGATATTCTCAAAAGATTTTTTGTCTTTATGATAATAAAGTCTATACACTTTCCTTAAAAACAATACTG